CCCCCATGGGCTAGGTCAACGGGCACCACTCATAGGCGCAGGTGTCCATACAACTCCCTGCACTTCCAACCAGCCAGCCATTTCTCTTTCTCATCCCCAACACCAGTGGGCTAGGTTAACAGGTGCCAAGGGAACATATCCAAACTCAGCTTGTCTCTTCATTGCCGGATGCCCCCCTTCCCACTTCCACTCATTGAGCAGACCCAGGAAGTCACTCAAGCAAGGAAACGAGGCAGTCTACTCGCCAGCTCCCTTTAACTTCCAGTCCTGGAAGGGGGTTCTTCTTATGGGCAATGGCTCGATGCCTCCAATGGCAAACCACTTGCTCAAAATTCAAAAAACAAGTCATTTTTTTTTTCGTAGATCCTTCTTTCAAATGCAAATTTCTTTCTCTCTCAGCAGTTCTGGGTAGGTCTGTGTGTGTTCTCAAACGCAAATTTCCTGGGTGGGGCTCAGGTTTTCAACCTAAGCCCCCAATACTCTATACACAGGGATCTCGGAGCCTTGGTGGCACAGTAGTTAAGAGCTCAGCTACTGATCAAAGGTCAGCAGTTCGAATCCACCAGCTACTCCTTGGAAACCCTATGGGGTAGTCCTACTCTGTTCTACAGGATTGCTATGAGTTGAAACTGACTCAACGGCCAACAGGTTAACAGCATTCAAACCAACAGCCTATGTTTCTTTCAGGCATGTCCTAGTTTCTCTTTTAGCATATCCAATCAAGTACTGGCTGAATGCAGAGTTATACACTGTGATCTATAATACTCAATACTCACTTCCATCATAAATTTAGGTTTGTTTTATAACACTGGGCAGGAGCAACACTCAATATCCATAGTACAGTCCAATAAACACATAACCCGTTTTAAAACATTTCAGTTTCATCTTCTCCACACCTTGACTATCTTCCCATTCACAGGCATATTGTATTGAGGCTCTGGTTGGGTGTAATCAGAAGACCCTGGCCTCCTATCAATCAACTCATTTACCTGGTCTGTCTTTTGCCCCAAGCCACTTTAGATGTACCTTTTCTCCCCTCGGCTGCAGCATAACATCTCTTACTTGCCTTTCAGCCATTATAGATAACAACAATCAAAGTAACCACCTAAGAATCAAAAGTTTCACTTCTCACATCCCTTTATTCTGTCTTTTACAATGTCCCATGCTTCCAGTTCTGGAGCCACTGCAATAAATCCTGCTTATGACGTCAACTGTAAAAGTACCACAGTGGCGTACAGGTCCTCTAACTTCAGGGGAGAGATAAGAATCACCATCAGTAACATCAGCCCAAGGCTGATTCCTATGAGATGGAGGTCAGACACATCTCCTCTCTCCAACATTTTTACCAATTCTGACACCAGTCATCCCTCCCACGGCACTCTCTATTTTTCTGATGGGTTTGATAACTTGTTGCAGTGGCCGCACAGAACTCACAGATCACACTCACAGTTATGGGGTTTATTAATTAAGTAACAGGTTACAATTTAGGATCAGAAACAACTCAGGACACAGTTCTTGAATAAGGACAGTTTCTTCTCAGCTATGCTCACAGGCAGACCTGTCTCCCACCTCTCGGCCCTCAGGCCCTCAGCCCCTCGGGCCTCTTAGGCTGGCCCACCCGGCCTCTACCCTACTTGGGCAAGTGTTACAAAGCTCTTTAGCTCCACTGGTAAGTGCCTAGAGGTACTGCATTCCATCAGTGAGCCTTGGCCCAAAGGTGCTCTGCTCTCTAGCTCCATGGATTGGCAAGCCTACCTCCACTGACAAGCACGGGTGGCACCCCATTCTGTGAGCAAGCCTCCTGCCAGAAGGCGCTCAGATCTCTTCTTGCTCCATGGGTTGAAGCTCCACCAACTGCCCTGAGGCACCTCACTCCTCCAACAAGCCTCTTTACCAAAGGCGCTCAGATTTCTCAGTCCACGGGTCAGGAAGCCCACGCGCCATCTTCTGCTGGTCTCCTGATTCTGCTGCTGCTTCTTGCCATGTCTCACTGTCTCTGTTATCACAGCTCTATCTGTCTCCTGGGTCTAGGAGGGTCTCGACACAGGGATCTCAAGTCCAAAGGAAGCACTCCACTCCTAGCTCTTCTTTCTTGGTGTGGTGAGATCCCTCCTTTCTGAGTCTGGGATGGCTCATTTTAAGTCTAGCATGATGACAAAACTAATCAATCCCCTTGTTAGGCTCCATACACCTTATTTGCATGGCTCCACCAACACAAGGGTGCCATGCACCTTATTTGTATTATTAGTAAATTATCCAATCCCGTTGGTGGGCCACAAGGACCTTATTTGCATATTCTTACACAATCATGTGGTGGGAGTTACAAGACTATGTAGAGAAAGGCCATATAAAAGTGATCCATTGCACCACACTGTTCTACTCAGATTAATAAAACTGAAGATGGATAAGCAGTTACCTGTGACTATAGTAATACATTTTAAATGTATGGATCCAGATTTAGTGACGCCTCAGACAGAAGAATATAGTTCTTTGTAATTTGTATACATTATAATCAAACTCAAGTTAATGAGAACTATGAACAAGGAAGACAATGAATAAGGAACACCAAAGAAAAACTGATGCCTTTGAATTACGTTATTGATGAAGAATACTGAATATACCATGGACTGCCGGAAGAATGAACGAATCTGTTTTGGAAGTAGTACAGCCAGAACGCTCCTTAGAAATGAGGATGGTGAAACTTCGTCTCACATACTTTGGACATGTTATCAGGAGGGACCAGTCCCTGGAGAAGGACATCATGCTTCGTAAAGCAGAGAGTCAGCAAAAAAGAGGAAGAGCCTCAGCGAGATGGACTGACACAGTGGCTGCAATGAGGGGCTCAACCATAGCAATGCCTGTGAGGATGGCACAGGATTGGGCAGTGTTTAGTTCTGTTTATGTATGGTCACTATAAATCAAAACTGACTCGACGACACCTAACAACAGTACTCATTGTGCATTTAAAATTACAGATGTTTATTTAACAAACACCCAATACATAAAATCTGATTACAAGTGAAATAAACCTGTACACATCCACTAAGAGGGAACTGTGTGATACGCATAGACGAATGTGCAGCAATCATAAAATACTATTATTCCAAAATTCAATATATTAAGTAGCAAGGAAATACAGTGGAATTAAAGACTACAGTGAAGTACAGTAAGCGCCTAGGTTATGAACATTTGGCTTACATACAACTCATACCTGCCCTTTAATATGAACTTTGCCCTCACTTTGAAACGACTGAATCAACCCCTACTCATAATAAATTCTGTCACAATCACCTTCACTGGCTGCACATGCAGATTTTAAACCACCGAAAAGGCTTTGAGCCTTTTCTTGCACAAAAGTAAGGCTAAATAAGAATCGTATGCACCTGTTCCAACTCTACAAATTCTCAAAGACACAGACAGAAACGGATCTCCTTCGTAACTCAGGGACTGCCTGTTGATAAGGTAATCAGAGCAGAAAATTCGAGATGTACCTAGAAGAAGCAGTTCTTAAAACAAGCAAATCATTTCCAGTAGGGCACTGCTTATGCATTTCTGATGAGGCAGAAGTCAATCTTAGGATCTGGTCTGAACGAATCTGCAGACCATACTGAGAGTCAAGTATATTAATCTGATTAAGGTCACATTCGACACTTTAAAAAATGAAATGAGAGACAAAAAAGATAAGAAGAAACACCCATAAAACCTATTGCCATCGAGTTGATTCCAACTCATAGCAATACTATAAGACAGAGTAGAGTTGCCCAGTAGGGTTTCCGAGGAGCAGGTGGTGGATTCAAACTGCCATCCTTATGGTTAGGAGCTGAACAAGAAAGCAGCAGCAGCCAAAGAAGAAAGACATCCTCCACAAAAGTTGAATTCAGTGTAATTAGTCCTTCACTCAGATGCTTCATTTTTGCATTTTCAGTAACTTTCCTGCGATAAAAAATATCTTTATCTTGAATGTTCTTCCCCATCTGTTTTAAGACAGTTTGATAGTCACCTGGCCACGATTAGAAGCGAGCCTACAGTAGAACGCTCCTTAGAAGTGAGGATGGCAAGGCTTCGTCTCACATATTTGGGAAATGTTATCAGAAGGGACCAGTCCCTGGAGAAGGACATCATGCCTGGTAAAGCAGGGGTTCAGTGAAAGACAGGAAGAACCTCAGTAAGATGGACTGACAGATTTTGTGATTTTATAGTACAAAATCATAATGAAAATAGTATTAAGTTCCAATCCAGAATAACAATCTAAGTGGATGTAATTTTTCTGTGATTTATTCAGTACAATCGTCTTTTTCTAGATTTTAACCATGTCTTTAGAACAGGAAGATACTAGCATGTCATAAAGTAAGCAACACGTGTTGGCTAATAATGTTAGAAACTTAATCTTCAACATAGTAACATGGAAATGTGGAAGTCAGTTCTCTAAGAAAGCATAGCAGGGTTTTAAGCATAGAGACAAAGCAAAAATAATTACTGCTTCCTTTGTATTAGACACATTCTTAAACTTCCATCCCAAAATTGGAGAAAAAAGGTGAGGGAGGAACAATTAGAAGAAAATGGGGCTCTTTAATGGGTGTTTTCTTACACAGTCATAAACATAAACTATGAAAAAGAAACATTTCTGTACATGGCTTTCATCTTTAAATTATATCATCTCTATACTGGTAAGCCCAATAGGTGGACATTAAATGTTGGCGCCTTCCAGGTTCCTTCATTAAAAGGCATTTTAGCATATTAGTCAGAAATTTATATTATCATACTTTACAACAATACGTGTCAAGGATATTTATATTAGCTTACGTTAATATATGTCAAAGCCTCCCCACCGCTTGGTGAAAACCAGTAACTTGTTCTGGCACTAGACTCCTTCAGAGAAATTATGACTAAAATAACTCAAGGAAATTTGGAAACTGAATAAAAAAAGATACAGGGTTGAGGCTAAATTTTATTCATTACCTTCAAAAAGTATTCCAGACAAAACCAAGGCTTTTACTTACTCTTCCAGAAAAAACACTGAGGCAACTTCCCTCCGCAGTCCCGACTCCCACGCGGAGCCACTCCACGTGGGGCCGCCACCACTCCCACTTCACCCGCGTCCTGCTCAGAAAGCAGGTGTAGACGCGACCTTACGCCCCTCGCGGGCTTCTTCCCGGCCAGGTCGGAGCCCCAGCGACTCTCCGGGCTCCTTTTCAGTCAGCCCTGGCGCAACCGCCCTGCTTGAGCGGCGTTCGGGAAGTCTTTGCGGCCAGCCTTCAGGGAGGCGCGAGGCGACCGCACAACCGCCATCTGGCCAACCGCTGCCCGCGCGGGGCTCTCAGTTCCAACGTACCTAGAACGTCGCTGCGCCGCCACAACCGCCCACCCACCGAGAGACTCTCTCGCCTGACCTTCCACGATCTGCAACCGCCGCTTACAATGACCAGCCCGCCCGCACTCGCCGAGGTAGATCTACCTTCGCCCGCCCCCGGTTGACTTCGGGCCAATGGCAGCACGAACATGCGGCAGCCTAGCCAATCAGAGATGATTAGGTGGGTGTGGGCGGGGAGCAGGGATGCCGGGAAGTGGAAGTTGGCTGAGGGGAGCCGATTTTTCTCTTCTTTGTGCACTTCTTCCGTCAGCCGTTTGGGCTTTTGCTGGGTCCCAGTTTGTGCACCACCGAAAAGACTGAGAGAGATTTTTTTTCTCAGTGACTGCTGCGAAGATTGGCAAAGTTTTTCGAAGATCATTATTTATTAATAAAACTTTACTTAACAAAAACAGGCAACGGGCCAACTGGGCGTAGTTCATCGATTTGATTTTTTAAAATATTGCATTAAAATATTTATCTAGATTACCTAGTTTTTGAACGACCCCTTAAATTTTGCTACCCAGAGGAATAGTCCCTGCCTTGTTACGTGTTTCTTGATTCCCTATCTTGCCACGAGTTCCTGCCACCCCTCAGGAGACTTACTCGGCTGCTAGAAAACACCATCTTGGCGGTTATCATGAGTTCATTCAACAGATGATTATTAAGCTTTCTGTGTGCCAGGTGCAGGAAATATAACACTCAGCCAGATAGATAAAGCCCCCTTCATCAAGGAGTGGTACAGCTATCTGCCTTGTACTTGTCCACAAGAAAATGAGACAAGGCCAGACAACCTGGGAAAGTAGGTCATTAACAGACTTAACATACTCCAAACCAACGAAGTTCTCAAAGCATGATCTATGGACCCCTGGTGGTCCACAAGGTCAATACTGTTTTCATAATAGTGTTGTTAGGTACCATGGAGTTGGTTCCACTCAGAGTGACCCCCATACACAACAGAACAAAAGGCTACCAGGTCGTGGGCCATCCTCACAATCATGTTGGAGCCAATTGTTGCAGCCATTGTGTCAATCCGTCTAGTTGAGGGTCATCTTTTTTCCCCTGACCATCTACCAAGCATGATGTCCTTCTGTAGGCACTAGTCCCTCCTGAAAGCGTGTCATTTTTGACAACTGCCAATTTTCCTTGATTCATACTTTGTACGTTCCACATTCCGATTACTAATGGATGTTTGCAGCTGTTTCTTCTCATTTTGAGTTGTGCCACATCAGCAAATGAAAGTTCCGAAAGCCTTACTGATCCAGGTCATAAAGGTCGACTCTTTTGAGGAGATAACTCTTCCCCAATTGCATTTTGAGTACCTCCCAACCTGAGGGGCTCATTTTCTGTCACCTTATATCAGAATATGTTCTGCCGCTATTCACAAGGTTTTCACAAGACAATATTTTTTTTTAAAGAAGTAAATTGCCAGTTCCTTCTTCCTAGTCTGTCTTAGTCTGGAAGCTCCGCTGAAACCTGTCAACCATGGGTGACCCTGCTGGTATTTAAAATATCAGTGGCATAGCTTCCAGCATCACAGCAACACGCAAGCCACCGCAGTACGACAAACTGACAGACAAGTGGTGGTTCATAATAATAGGAAAATGTTATTTGTCTTTTTCATTCTCATACTCTCAGGAATGACATGCGATATTGCAACATATTGAATGCAGAAGCAGATATGAAAATCCAGCTGTCTTCTGTTAAGTGAGATATTAAGGAAATATGAAAAAAATAAAACAATACCAATCTTTGCACACAGTTTTTTTTGTTTTGGAAAATATAGTTATTTTCACACAAAATTATGTGAACGTGTAATGGATTTATTATTGTTATTTTTAATTAATTAATAAATATTGTGGACATCTCAGTTTTAACTTACAATACTAAATATTTATAGATGTAACTCACATAAACAAAAACTCTTTGAGATTCTCAGTACTAAAGTATAAAGGGATCCTGAGACAAAAAGTTAGAACCACTGCTCTAGCCATCAACCCATTTTAGTCACTAAACATTCTAAGAATTCTGAGGTGTACAAAGAGTGCTTTTTTACAGGGCTGGAGAGCCGGGCTGGAGTGTATGTGTTACATTGCATACAGGGAGGCTAGGCCTTTCGATGAGAAACCATTTTGAATATACCTGAAGGGTATATGTAGAGGAGCATCATGATAAACAGAGAAAATATTGAAGTCGTCAAGGATTTCATTTTACTTCGATCCAGAATCAACACCCATGGAAGCAGGAGTGAAGAAATCAAACAGCCTTTTGCATTGGGTAAATCTGCTCCAAAAGACCTCTTTAAAGTGTTAAAAAGCAAAGATGTCACTTTGTGGACTAAGGTGCACCTGACCCAAGCCATGGTATTTTCAGTCACTTCATATGTGTGCGAAAGCTGGACAATGAATAAAGAAGACTGAAAGAGAATCGATACCTTTGAATTATGGTGTTGGTGAAGAATATTGAAAATGCCACAGACTGCTAGAAGAATGAACAAATCTGTCTTGGAAGTAGTACACCCAGAATGCTCCTTAGAAGCAAGGGTGGCAAAATATCGTCTCACATATTTGGACATGTTATCAGGGAGGGACCAGTCCCTGGAGAAGGACATTATGCTTGGTAAAGTAGAGGGTCAGCGAAAAAAAGGAAGACCCTCAACAAGATGGACTGACACAGTGGCTGCAACAATGGGCTCAAGCATAGTGATGATTGTGAGGATGACACAGGACCTGGCAGTATTTCGTTCTGTTATACACTGGGTAGCTATGCGTTGGAACCAACTCAACGGCACCTAACAACAACAACAAATGTATAGATGAGCTGAGAGAGAAGTGGTGTGTGGGAGGGACTAAAGGCAGGTAATTTGGAACCACATAAAAAATTTGAACATAATTGAGTTAACAATGAGTAAGTTACCTTTAGAAGTGTGATGTCTGTTTGGGGTAATAGGATATCTTGTATGTCATTTTTATAATAATAACAGTAATAATAGATATTTACTTGGCACTTTGTTAACCAAGTTCATAACGTATTATTTTCCATTTATTTCCACATTTCAAGTTGGACAACCTGGATTCAAACTCATGCTGTGTCACTTACCAGCCATGGGGTATTGGGCAAGTTAGGTCACCTCTCAGAATCACAATGATCTTATTGCTAACAACAATAATAGAACTTTTGAGTTCTTATTTATGCCAGGCATTGTACTAAGCATTTATCCATCTTATTCAAATTAATTATTGTAACACACTGTTAAATATTTTAAAAAAATTAATGGCCATCTGTGCTAGGTGGAGAATGATAGGGAATTTTTCAAAATATTCTAACTGCAGGGACTTTCTGAGAAAAATAACTTCACATTGAAGAATGTTTCTCACTCACTATACCAGACACAACCAATCGCCAGTGAACAAGAATATCTATATATCTAATGACAGAAAGAGCTCCGCTTCATACACCCACTCTTCAATTAAGGGAATACCTAAGACCCAATCATTGTAACTTCCCTGCTGGAAATCCCCTGCCATTAAAAACCCTGTGCTTGAATTGCTTAAACGAGCACCTTGCCACTTTCAGTTTAGATGCCCTCTGTTCCTGAACAACTTATTGCTCAATGAAAAAAACCAAACCTACCTCTGTCGAGTCTATTCCGACTTATAGCGACCCTACAGAACTGCTCCATAGGGTTTCCAAGGCTGTAAATCTTTACAGAAGCAGATTGTCACATATCTCTCCCTCCGAGCGCTAGAGGGTTTGAAGAGCAGACATTTCCGATCACAATTAAACGCTTTAACAATTGCGCCACTAGGGCTCGTCAATAAAACCTATTAACTTTGGTTTGACTTGTTGATCAATTTTTCTTTCGGCGACACTACATGCTAGGTACTATGAAGTCTCCATTTTTTTTTAAGAAATACATGGGATAACAACTACATAGATCCTTGTACATTTCTTGACTTAGAGTAGACACTTGAGGTATGGTAGCTATTATTATTAATATTGATAAATCTGAGTTATGTGTACTCCCTAGGTAACTTGAATGATCTTGAGCAAATCTCTTAGCCTTTTGTGTTGCATAGGTTTTTTTGTTTGTTTGTTTATTTGTCATTTTTTTCCAATCTGTGGTAGGCAGAATTTTGATCCCTAAGACCTTCACCCCTTAGTATTCCTCTTGTGATTTATGTTATATTGCATGGCAAAAGGGACTTTGTAGATGTAATTAAGTTGACTAACCAGCTGATTTTAAGGTACAGCGATTAGCCTAGATTTCCCAGGTGGGCCCAATATAATCACATGAACCCTGAAAGACAGAAAAGCAAGTATAAGAGATGCTACAGAAAGGTAATTCAAAGAATTAAGAAGCTTGAGAAAAACTCATCCCAACATTTCTGGCTTGAAGATTGAGGGGGCCATGTTGAAACTGTGAGAAGGAAATGAACTCTGCCAACAACCTGAGTTAGCCTGGAAACAGATTCTTCTCCAAAACCTCTAGATAAAAGCCCAGGCTGGCTGACACCTTGATTTGAGCCTTGTGAGACCCTAAGCAGAGTTCTCAGCTGAGTCCACTGGACTTCTGATTTACAGAACTGTGAGATAATAAATAGTGTGGTTTTAAGCCACTGAACTTGTGATAATTTCTTATGGCAGCAATAGAAAACTAACACAAGCATTTACTCCTATACCCTTCTCAGATGGAATCCTGGGATCTACAGTTCTCAGACACCCTTGCCTCCAGTGTTCTGGGTTCATTTATGTTTTCTTAAGTGGGATGAACTCTGAGATTTGGAAGGTAGAAGAAAGAAGTTATTTTTATGGGTTTTGTGCTGGGCCACCAATCCCTGCCTCAGTGGTGTAAGGTGGCTGTCACAATCAACAGTAGTTTTTGGAAATTTCCTGGCCTCTGGCTGGAAGCAGTAACTTCTTCATTCTCTGTACCACAGAAGCAGTGGCACAAATGAAAACCAATCTGACAGTAGCTCCTCCAGCCCTTGAAAAGGTTTATAAGCACATAATA